ATGAGTTTAAAATCTAGCAACTAAATACAAGACTAAAGTGACACAACTGGGCCTGAAAGAGAGGCCCAATATTCAACTTTTAATTTCCTGAAGTTGCCTGCGTATAAAGCCTTAACTATAGGGCTGATTAATATTTTGGGCCTCTAAACAGGCCCAATTCACTCACCTGGACAGCCTATTGTTGGCACAAGTATAACAGTCTGATTCTGAATTTAGTCTATCCTCTTTTGAGTTTGGAGTTATCGCAGTAACGATTTCCTTCAAAAGCTAAAACTATTTAACACAATTAAAGCAATTAAAACAAACGCAGCAACTGAAATGGTTTAAAATAACTAAAACATGTTAAACAACCAAACAACTAAACATGCTCATGATCCGATTTTAAAATAACTACACATTTTAAAGCAACTAAACCAATTGAAACATATTTCTAAAAGGACAGCCCATGTGTTTTGGCCCAGGATACCGGAGGTACATTAGTAGACTAAAATGAAATTTGAGCAATTGAATCTAATGGGCCTGCTTCCAGATTTAATACACGTTCTACACTACCCTCAATCCAACTAATTAATCCAAAGCTATTCTTACAGGAATCCTAATTTAATTATACATGATTTAACTACTTAAAACAGGATTCAACTAAAGGAATAATACAGTCCACAGCAAACATGTTGTATAATGTCAAATTCGCATGCCTGTTGCTTTTACTATTGGCTAACTGAACAATGTGACACTTCAAGTGCATAAATCAGTAAACTGAAACAACATATAGGATTACATTTCTTAATATAAATCCAGTGAACAAGACAAGGAATCAGAAAATGCAATCAAGCTTGGAACATCCTTTCGTTCGAACCAGATATCAACTACATATGTCCATAACCTCTAGCTATTCGAAGATTAGGCAAATACCTGGAAATTGAAGCAAAAAAAAAAAAATAGCAGAAGTATCAGCAAGTAGTAGAGGAAATCAGCAGCAAATAGTAACCCAGCTAGTGACTCGAAATGCTTTGAAATTCAAACTAATTGAATAGTGACCCAGCTGGATCCAACACCAAACTTCAATGGACAACTTTAAACATTTTTCAACCAGTTGAAAGCAAACAGTAATTCTGTTGGATTCCTAAACCCTTTTGGTGTTGATTTTTCCGGATTTTTCTCTTCTCTAAGATCTAATGTCTATGTATCTAAACTCTCGTTGAATTTTTTTTTTTTTAATTTTTCAGTAGCTTTTCAGGCTTTTAGACTCTCAAACTTTCAGATTTCAAATTTTGGTTTTGGGATTTTGAAATTCAAATTTTCAGATTCTCTAGCTTATAGAAACTTTTTGGGGGGAGTTTTTAGAGGCTGAAAACTTGTGAAACAAGGCAATAAGCATGCCTTTTTATAGGCAAAACTTAGGGCATCCTTCAGATTTCATTTACACCTAAGTCCCTCTTTTATTTTCAAATTTTTAGCTAATTAGTCCCTTATTTATTGGCTTGTGGCCCAAGTTACACTACTAAGTTCCTAAAATTCTAATTGGAACCCCATCTAGAATGTTCTAGGGGTTTCCAATTTGGTTACTTGCAGGATTTCTCTTATTGAATTACCTATATTGCCCCTAATTTGACTTAGAACTACTAACCTAGTTAAACTAAAACCAGCCCCTGGTTAATTAATCAAGGAACTGCAGTGATCAGCTATAATCAGAATCAATTCTAATTGAACCAACATCCTAAGGCTAGATTTATTATTAAACTAATAAAACCAGTAAACTAATAGCTAAAATCGAACAAATAGAGCTGAAACTACACTGCGAAGAATATCAAAATCAAAAAAATGCGCAGTAGTTAAACATGGAATCATACGGTTGAAATCAAATCAAATGACAAAAAATGTAATCAAAACCAATCAGACCCTAAATCAAACCTAAAAAAAGAAGAAATACCAAAGATGAATGAAAGCAAAACAAAATCAGAAGGCTAATGCTTAAAAGGGAACATTTACAGATAAACAAAGAAATTTAAGAACACTCACTGATTAAACTTGAAACTCCTCTTGATGTTCTGATTCGCATGAAATTGATGCTAATCACTTATTCTTCGTTAAGAACGAACGAACAACATCAATTTGTAGTGAATCAACTCCTAAATCGCGAAGAACAAAGGCTTGGGTCGATTAATTGAACTGCTGAAGCTCGAACTCAGATTTACAATTTGAATGATTCTGGATAGATTCGAAGGAAACTAGTGACATATTAAGCGTGAGGGAGGCACAGGGGGCATGTGGTGTTGTTTTGAAGTGGTTTGGAGGCGGCGGCGCCACCGGAGAACAAAGGCGGCGGCTAGGGTTCATGACTTCAAAAGAAGATTCGAGGGGTTTGGGCGAGTTTTGAAGAAAAGTGAACTTAGATTTGGAAGGAGGAGGAGGAGGAGAAGGTATGGTGTGAATTTGGGAGCCATCGGCGTAGTTTGTGTCATCGCCGCCGGCGGAATTGACGAAGAATATTAGGGCGGTTGGCTTCTCTAGGGTTTTGAAAGGGGGGGTTTGAGAGAGACGACGGAGGGGGGTAGGGGGCGTCTTTGGACAATTATATATCTGGGATAGGTGAGTTGCGGTCCGTTGGATCAACAAAACATAGACGGCTAGGATTTGTTTAAATCAAAACGACGTCGTTTCGATGGCTGGGGAATCGGACCGGGTCAGGGTGCGTGGGTTTGGGCCTGGGGCTCGGTCAGGGTGATGGGGGTTTGGCTTGGGCTGGTGATTTATTTGAAGACTGGCCCAAGACAGACCTTTCTTTAATTCTTTTGAATCTTTTCCTTTCATTTTTTTTTTGATTTTGTTCAATACAAAATTAAAAATAACAAAAACCTGATTTAACTCTAAAATTAAACTAATTAATTTTCTAAAATTAACTAGATCCTAATTTAAAAAGAAAACTAAGCAAAAAAATGTAAAATGACTATTTTTGTTATTTTTTCTTCTATGTCTGTAATATTAATTAACTAACAAACCTACAAATATAAAATTGGGTTCTAAATGCAAATGTGTTATTTTTGGTATTTGTTTTTTAGATTATGCCAACTAAAAATGCACACAAAAATGCAAACAAAACAAAAATCATGCAATTAATTCCCTAAAATTCAAATAATGAAAGAAAAATCCTAATTTCAAGAATTCTATAGGAATATTTCAAGCGAGGCAAAAATCACGTGCTCACAGATATAACCAAACAATTTTAGGTAATGTAGTCTCAATTTGTACGTTGGAGCATGTTATCATTTATCGAACCATATTTGTTAAGAACCTTGCCTGATCTAACTGATACAAACAACAACAGACCCAGTAACCAGTCTAATCCCACAATTGAGGTAAATGAGCAAACACTGATCAGAAACAAAAAATAAAAATGAAGAAAATTCATAAAAATATGTGTCTGCCGGGAGTTGAACCTGGGTATATTGCTTGGAAGGCAATTATCCTAACCGTTGGACCACAAACGCTGGTTATCTTCTTAACATGTTCAACTATCATAATATTATGCATAGATCGGCCCATTTTGAAGTTCATGTAAGATATAACCAAACAATTTTAGGTAATATAGTCTCACTTTGTACGTTAGAGCATGTTATCATTTATCGAACCATATTTGTTAAGAACCTTGCCTGATCCAACTGATACAAACAACAACATACCCAGTACCCAGTCTAATCCCACAGTTGAGGTAAATGAGCAAACACTGATCAGAAAAAAAAATGAAGAAAATTCTTAAAAAATATGCGTCTGCCGGGAGTCGAACCTGGGTCTATTGCTTGGAAGGCAATTATCCTAACCGTTGGACTACAAACGCTCGTTATCTTCTTCACATGTTCAACTATCATGATATTGTGCATAGATCGGCCCATTTTGAAGTTCATGTAAGATATACTCAAACAATTTTAGGCAATGTAGTCTCAATTTGTACGTTAGAGCATGTTATCAATTATCGAACCATATTTGTTAAGAACCTTGCCTAATCCAACTGATACAAATAACAACTGACCCAGTACCCAGTCTAATCCCACAGTTGAGGTAAATGAGCAAACACTGATCAGAAACAAAAAATAAAAATGAAGAAAATTCATAAAAATATACGTCTGCCGGGAGTCGAACCCGGATCTATTGCTTGGAAGGCAATTATCCTAATTGTTGGACTACAAACGCTGGTTATCTTCTTAACATGTTCAACTATCATAATATTGTGCATAGTTCGGCCCATTTTGAAGTTCATGTAAGATATAACCAAACAATTTTAGGTAATGTAGTCTCAATTTGTACGTTAGAGCATGTTATCATTTATCAAACCATATTTGTTAAGAACCTTGCCTGATCCAACTGATACAAACAACAACATACCCAGTACCCAATCTAATCCCACAGTTGAGGCAAATGAGCAAACACTGATCAGAAAAAAAATGAAGAAAATTCATAAAAATATGCGTCTGCCGGGAGTCGAACCCGGGTCTATTGCTTGGAAGGCAATTATCCTAACCGTTGGACTACAAACGCATATTTTTTAAGAATTTTCTTCATTTTTTTTCCTGATCAGTGNCCGAGTCTTCCTAACCGTTGGACTACAAACGCTAGTTATTTTCTTAACATGTTCAACTATCATAATATTGTGCATAGATCGGCCCATTTTGAAGTTCATGTAAAATATAACCAAACAATTTTAGGTAATATACTCTCACTTTGTACGTTAGAGCATGTTATCATTTATCGAACCATATTTGTTAAGAACCTTGCCTGATCCAACTCATACAAACAACTACAGACCCAGTACCCAGTCTAATCCCATAGTTGAGGTAAATGAGCAAACATTGATCAGAAAAAAAAAGAAGAAGAAAATTCATAAAAGTATGCGTCTGCCGGGAGTAGAACCCGGGTCGATTGCTTGGAAGGCAATTATCCTAACCTTTGGACTACAAACACTGATTGTGTTGTATCTACCTCATAATATTCATTGAACAAAAGCACATTTCACTCCCTAAGACTTTGTTTCAGTTGACAAAATCTGTGCAGCGGCTGGGGATGACAGGGTGTGTGAGGATGAGGCGAATTCGCATCTCCGGCGGCGGCAGCTCTGCTTTGTTTGGAACATCTTTTCCCTTCCCCAATTACACAAAATGTCCATTGAAACCCAAATCTTTCCTAAAGCTGTTTCCTTCAACAACAACACCCATCTTCACCACTCTCCATTATCGTTTAATTACGTCGGCTCAACATTCTTCTCCCTCCTCTCATGTTCATCCAACACCTCAGACTGAACTTCCTATATCTTCTGGTAACTACCCCTTTACACAAACAGACATGTATTCACTTATTCTTGTCTCTGTTTGTTTGTTTTATGTATTCACTTTGTTCTTTGTCCTTTTCTATATAGGAGGTGATGGCCAAAATGGGTATCCTATGAACGACTCAAAAGTGGTTTTGAAAGAGATGAGATATGCTGAACTTGAGGTATGTGTATATCAGTTGTTGGTGTTAGCCTTGTATAAATTTGAGTAAAGTTGCAATCTTGGTAGTTATTTAATCTTCTTTACCTGTTTAAAGATTTAAACTTACTTTTCTTTGAGTTTTTTAGATTAGGATCACTCACGTGGTAACTGTATTTCGGGTGGTCCTGCTGTATATTTTAGTTATCCAGGTTTGTAACTGAGGGAAGTATTGCCACCAGGGCTTTGCTCTACTGGTAAGAGCGCAGCTTGTGATGTGTGGGTTAGACACACATCACCTGCCACAAACCAAAGCCTAGTATTTAACTGGAGAAGGGTAGAGGGGTGGACCAATTATCTGTCAAGGTCCGAACCATCACAGGCACTCATGGGATTTCTCGGTTATAAAAAAAGAGAATGTTTGAGGAAAGTGCAATCTTTATAGTGATTTGGTCTTGTGTACAGCTTAAGGATTCAAACTTGTTTTGCGTTCTGTCTCATGGTATGTGTATTACGGTTGTTCCTGTTGTGTATTTTGTTGAAATTTTACGAAAGTTACAATCTTGATAGTGATTCAAACTTGCTTTGCGTTTTTGAGATTAAGCTCTGGCTCATGGTATTTGTACTTCGGTTGTTCCTTCCGTGTATTTTGAGTTAACCTTGTAGATTATTTAGGAAAGTTCCAAGATTGAGAATGGTTTATCTTGGTTTAAGCACCACTCTTGTTTTGGACTTTTGACATTGATTCTATTGTTGAATGCCAATCATGGTTACTAATGGTGCTTTGCTTTCTGTTTAACAGAAATGGGTTCAGTCACATGGTTATAGGCCTGCTCAGGCTCTGATGTTGTGGAAACGTCTTTACGGGAATAATATTAATATTTGGGCGCAATGCAGTGAGGAACTAGAAGGTTTATTTGCTTTCCCGTACATATACTCTTGCTGTCAAAATTTCTATGCTGAAAGTGTTGATGAGTTTATTGCGTTTGGAAGGAAAATGATTCTGAATTTCGCTTATATCTTCCTTCATATGCGCTTTGCAGCTGACTTCGCCCAATGTTACATTATTTTTCAGGTTTGAATAAAGATTTCAGGAAAATGTTGAGTGAACATGCTGAATTTAAGACGTTAAACTTGAAGGATATTTTGACAGCGTCTGATGGAACTAAAAAGGTGGACATAGCTTGTGCCTTATGTAGAATTTGAAATATTTTCATATTTATAGTTTCTGTGATGCCATTTATTTGTTTTAGATTCATCACTTAATGCATATAACTCACAGGATCTTACAGATGTTATTCAAGTTGGAAGATGGTCTGGTAATAGAAACTGTTGTGATACCTTGTGAGAGCGGCAGGAACACCGTCTGTATATCTAGTCAAGTAGGTTGTCCCATGAATTGTCAGTTTTGCTACACTGGCAGGTAAGCTTTAGCAGCCTTTTAGCCTTTTGGTTGTTTTTCCAATTTACAGCTCCTGAATTGGCTCCCTTCATTTAAGTACATGAATCTACTTTGCAGAATGGGTCTGAAGAGAAACTTATCTACATCTGAGATAGTTGAGCAGGCTGTTTTAGCTCGGCGGTTATTATCCAGTGAAGTTGGCCCAATTAGCAATGTCGTGTTTATGGTATGTGTACGATATATTGATTTGCTGCACTGAACATGATCTCCTTTTTCTATACGTACCTCCTAAAATATTACCAGTATTACCATTTATTAACTTCTGGAATGCTAAATACTCTTGCTTGATGCAATGTGGCCGGCTTTGCTAATTTTCCAAATCCTAGCCACTTCACTAACATTGCCAAACCCTGTCTTCTTCGCGGCCTTTCCTAGGCCTATTATTCATTTTGCTCCCTGTTGTTCAACTATGCAACATGGTTGACTGGAGCTAGTCCTTCTCTTCCACACTAATATTACAAAATCTTGCCTGAGATTTTGGCTCTATGTTAACAAGATGCCAGAATGAAAGACCTTTCGTCCCTTCTTCCTTAATTATTTTCCTGTTTTCCTAAACAATCAAGTGTTTCTTTAAAAAAAGTATGATCAAATAACTGACTACAGGGAATGGGAGAACCACTTCACAACATTGAGAATGTCATAAAAGCGGCAGACATATTGGTAGATGAACAAGGGCTGCATTTTAGTCCTCGGAAGGTCACCGTTTCTACAAGTGGGCTTGTGCCCCAGCTTAAGCGCTTTCTTCGCGAGTCTAATTGTGCTTTGGCAGTCAGTTTGAATGCTACAACTGATGAGGTATTTCCCTTGAGCAACTTAATTCTTGGGATGAAAATGGATAAACAAATAGCTTCATGTTCTGATTCACACTAATGAAATATTGCAGGTTAGAAGCTGGATCATGCCAATTAACCGCAAATTTAACTTGAACTTGCTTCTTGGATCATTAAGAGAAGAGCTTCAGTCAAAACATAAATACAAAGTTCTGTTTGAGTATGTAATGCTTGCCGGAGTTAATGATAGGTACATACCTTGTTTCATTTCTACAAGATAAAAACCTAAGTAGTCCCTGATATATAGCGATTGACTTACTTTAGTCCCTAGTGTATCTCTTGAACATAAATTGTCCTTTATCTTTGTAAAAAAGGGTTTTGGTCCTGTCAATTGGGACACACTTAAACTAACCGAAATATAAAAGAACTTAATGGTATCTGGGCAAACTAAACAGATAAAGAAAAGACAAAAAGCATATTCTTCTTCAAGCTTTCTACTGAAATATGCTATAATTTCTGCTATTTGTTTGGTGTCAAAATCAGTCTTCCAAATCTTCACCATGGTTGTTTCTTAGGTTACCAGTTGATCCATCAGGAGGAATTTTCCCTCAAATTTAAACTTGAGATCCATTTTTAAAGCTCCCAAAAATATCCAGATATCTAGAATACGAATGCATTCGCATCCACCTTTAACTAAAGATAAGCTGCCAACTTCCGAACACAACAGGACTTCTCTTCAACTTTTCTGCAAATTTTTAACTCTTCCCATTCCCTGGTCTTCCAATAGTGACCGACAATTTTGTCAGTTCCGGACACTCGCCCCTCTCATGTTAGAGATTCTTTGAGTTTCTCTTAAGATTTGAAAACTGCATGTCTTTTTGATGTTTCCATGGTTGAAGAGAAACACGGATGTTCGTTTACTTCCATAGCCCCCTCTCCCCAGCCACATCCTTGCTTTCCCCTCTAGATACAAGTTTTTTTTTTCAGAATCAGTTGGCTTGCTCAATCAAGCAGAATATGAGATTATCTTTGTTTTCTGTATCCTTTAGATTCTCACTGTTGAAATTTTATTGCAGTATTGAGGATGCAAAGAGACTAATCGATCTTGTCCAGGGTATTCCATGCAAGATTAACCTGATTTCTTTTAACCCTCATTCTGGATCCTTCTTCAAACCCACTAAAAAGGAGAAGATAATTGAGTTCAGAAATATTCTTGCTGAAGCAGGATGTGTTGTGCTTCTGCGATTGAGTAGAGGAGACGATCAAATGGCCGCCTGTGGTCAGCTAGGTAAACCAGGCGAAATCCAAGCTCCCTTGCTCCGAGTGCCTTCTCAGTTTCAAGCAGTACTGGAAGCTGCAGCGTGATTCTGGTCTGTCCAATATGTGATGCAGTTTCAATGTGCATGCCCCTTCCGGAATTCAATCTATTGAATCTAGTCCTAAACATGCTTGTGCTCATGACATCGGTCGCTCTTGTCCAAGTTAGAGAGTTTATACACATAGGCTTGTAACCTCTATAATTTTGTTTTTAACTCTGATTTTTCAATTTGCAGTCCAGCAGGTTACGACGATTTGGGATTACAAGTAGCTTTTTAAATTTGAGAGTGCAAAAATTTGAAGTGCTTCTGATTGAGGTAGATTGTCAAAGATGTAGTTTATATCCTTGAGTACTATCACAAAACAATACTTGGTTGAAATTAAAAAAAAAAAAAAAAATTTGAAATCGTCAGGCTACAACGAGCCATGTTTCCATGATTCCCCATGGCATCTGGTTTATAAATCATTTTTTTTATTATTAAATAATTTTACTTAAATGTATATTTTGATCTCAATTATCACTTGTGTTTTGATATAAATATCCTGCGATCACCATATCACTACCAAAACACTCAAGTCTCAACTGTCAGCACTAAAACAGTAACCATCTTTCTCTGTGCGCATTATAGTCCTTTTCTAGTAGCGCCAGTTCTCAGTAACGTCAATCAACCACATTGATCATTTCTTTCTCCCATGACTTTGCTTTCTTTTTTCAATTTGTCTTGACCAATACGCAAACGTCCCTGCCAATGATCCCAAATCTTTTGCTTCCTTATTCCTGATCCCCAAGTCCTCATTATTTCTGTCAGCTCCTTTTTCATTTTGTTCCCTTTTCCCCTTATTCTAGCATCAATTTTCTTGCATGATTTTGAGAGAAGGAAAGAATGTTATATTCGGTACCCACCGGTTTAATAAGTCCGATTTCACGTTGCATATGGCCCATCTAATAGAGAAATACTCTTGATAAAAAAAAAAAAATCATTCTTAGAACTCGAATTTGAAACTTTAGATTAGTTTGAACGAGAAAAGGAAAGACTTAACAGAAGCATACATGAGTGTATTTTTTAAATCTAGCAAAACTCGCATATCCCTCAGTGTAGGCCGAAAGTCGTTGGTTCTTCGTTAAAATATCATGGTATAGCCAGTTTTCACACTGGTCAATGAAAAATAGCCAGCGTTTACCAAGTCAATGAAAAATAGCCACTATTTTGCTGCAACAGGGACCGGTCCAGTATAATATACGGGAGTTCTGGTGCATTTGTGTACGAACTCCAGCATATTATGCTGGACCGGTATACTTTGCTAACTCCTGTAAAATTTGCGGGAGACTGGAGCACCAGTGCTCCAAACTCCAGTATATTATACTGGACAATTATACTTGCTGGAACTCCCGTAAAATTTGCGGGAGTTCCAGCATAATTATGCCGAACTCCCCTAAAATTTACGGGAGTTCGAGTATACTTATGCTGGAACTTCCGTAAAATTCGTCGGTCGTATTTTTCCGGATTTTGTAACANTTATCTTCTTAACATGTTCAACTATCATAATATTGTGCATTGATCGGCCCGTTTTAAAGTTCATGTAAGATATAACCAAACAATTTTAGGTAATGTAGTCTCAATTTGTACGCTAGAGCATGTTATCATTTATCGAACCATATTTGTTAAGAACGTTGCCTGATCCAACTGATACAAACAACAACAGACCCAGTACCCAGTCTAATCCCAAAATTGAGGTAAATGAGCAAACACGGATCAGAAACAAAAAATAAAAATGAAAAAAATTCATAAAAATATGCGTCTGCCGGGAGTTGAACCCGGGTATATTGCTTGGAAGGCAATTATCCTAACCGTTGGACCACAAACGCTGGTTATCTTCTTATCATGTTCAACTATCATAATATCATGCATAGATCGGCCCATTTTGAAGTTCATGTAAGATATAACCAAACAATTTTAGGTAATGTAGTCTCACT